TGTGTGTATGTGTGTGTGTGTATGGTATGTGTGTGTGTGTGTGTGTGGTGTGTGTGTGTGTGTATGGTGTGTGTGTGGTGTGTGTGTGTGTATGGTGTGTGTGTGTGTGTGTGTGTGGTGTGTGTGTGTGTATGGTGTGTGTGTGTGTGTGTGCTTACTGTCCAGAGAGGCCAGGATTGGCTTGGCTCTGGTGCCCTTAGCTCTGTCTCACCATCTAGGCTCTGATGTGATGGATGGTAACATGAAGGCCAGAAAGCACACGGTACCCCAGGAGCGATTGCCTTGCTCCTCCCCGGGAGAACCAATGCTTTCAAGATAGAAAAAGTTGGAATAGAAATGAAAACAAGGGAAATAAAAACATTACAGGTCCCACCACCATGTCCTGTCATTATCCCCAGTGACACATTGACTAGCGACTGCTTAATCTATGTGTAGCATTTCTGTACATTCAGAGGTTGCTTCATTCAGGAGACTGTTTAATGCTGCAGTTATACATTTAATCACTTGTAACTGGCATGGGAAGGAACAGGATAGCTTTTTGTCCGACATTAGTTTTTGGTCCCGGTTTGGCATTTCCATTCTTTCGAATAGCGACGTACCAGTTCCTTTCCATATATTCCTTAGACTTGTAAGTGTTATAACCATTCTCCTCTAATTTTTCCAGGAAGAGACATTCATCTGTCAGGGTCAGCTGTATGGGAAAAAGGAGGAGAAACAATTAATAATGAAAAGAGCTCCCCCCAATGGTGTAGTAGGTAATAACACAGCGCTGGTATGTCAAAGGTCAGGAAGATCCCGGTTTAAACACAGAAAGTAAAATAAAAGTGCATGAACCTAGCACCATTTAAGGCAACAGAAAGAGATGGTCAGAAGTCTCAAGAGGCCAACACAAAGAATGGTTCACTCAATATGTCTGGAAGGTTGCAAACAATTCAGATATTTTTGTCTTTTGCATATGCACTGGATTCTGCTTTCGTTGGGAATAGGGATGTTCGTGGAGCCTGCTCTTCACACTGTTTGTTTAATTGTCCACCACCGTTCATGACTGGATATGGCAGCACTGCGGAGCCTTCCTCTGATTTCTCATTTAGCATACTGCTTCTATTGCTTGGCACGCCCGCATTCCCATGTTGTGGCTTTACCAGTTTAGCACCACATTTTCAACTACATCATGCGATGCCCCTTGCATGACTTTCTGCATTCCTCGTAAGGTTATAGGTTGTAGTTGAGAACAATTCTGCAGCTGCTGATGGCCCACAATGTCTCAGGGATGCAGAGTTTTGTGCTGCTCTCTTTGTTCTGAATTGATCCCATTTATTACACAATGTAATAGGAGCTGTCCTCAGTTTGCAACTGGGACTCAGGACTCCACAGGAACAGTACGGTAGTCATTCCCAGAACACAGTAATCATCCTAATCCAAAATCTAATCCCAAAAACAGACTGTTTCCTTCCAATGGTAAGTATCCAGAGACCATGGTTTAAGGTGATTGATGAAGAACAAGTGGTGACAGTAGTGTTTAGGACTTGGAAATGCACTATCTCATAGGTGGCAGATTCAAATTCAGTGGTCACCTTCAAAAGGCTACCAGATAAACATTTGAAGGGTAAAGAAGTGAAGGGAAATGGCAAAGAGCCGGGAAGTGAAACAAAAATAGAAATGCCTGGTCAAACTCAACAGGTCTGGGAAGAAAGCAGACTTTACATTTGAGTCTGATGACTCTTGATCAGAGCTGATAACAGCTAGGAAATCTGGTATTTGTACTGAAGACTGTTGGTTGGGCAGCAGAGGTGAACAAATAGGTGGAGATGGAGTCCAGAGAAAGACAGAGAGAGAGATAAAAGGGGTAGGTAAACAAGGGGATTGTGGATAGCAGGCCAGGACAGAAAAGAAGCTGAATAAATAAGAATAAGAACTGAGCGTATCAGAGAAAGGGTAGTCTATGCTGAAATGGATAATAGGCCTGAGAATGGATGACAATCAGTTGGGTGTGCTAAAAGCAACCCATGTCATAAAGACTGGGTCTGGGGTGGGGACAAAGAAGGATGGAATCAGGCTCTAAGACTTTGAGTCCCAGAGGCCACATGGCTCCCATGTGGAAAATGAGATTCTGTTCTTCCAGCTTGTGCTGAGGCTCATTGGAACACAGCAACAGGCCTGTGTTAGAAATGTTGGCATGAGAATATGGTGGTGTGTTGAAGGGGCAGGCAACTGGAAGCTTGGGGTCATTTTTAAGACTGAAAATAGATATTCTGCAATGCTGTCGCCCAGTCTGCAATCTGTCTCCCCTGTGTAGAGAAGACCATAAGGAGAACAGTGAATATAGGAGGCTAGATTGAGTAAAGTGCAGGTAAATCACCGCTTCATCTGGAAGACATATCTGGGATCTTTGATACTGAGGACGGAGGAGGTAATCAGGCAGGTGTCACAGCTTCTGCGATTGCATGGAAATGTGCCATGGGGGTGTGGGAAGGTGTTGGGAACGGAGGATGAATGGACCAGAGTGTGTCAGATGGAATGGTCCCTGCAGAAGGCTGACAAAGGAGGGGAGGGGAATATGCGTCTGGTAGTGGCACCTCACTGGAGGTGATGGAAATGTCAACTTACAATCCTTTGGATATGGAGGCTGGTGGAGTGGTAAGTGAGGACTCAAAGGACCCAACAGTCATTGTGGGAGGGAAGGGAAGGGGTGAGATCAGAAGTGCGGGAGATGGGTCCAACACAGCTAAGAGCCCAATTGACTGCGGTAATGGGGAATCCTTGGTTGAGGAAGTAGCTGGACGTTTCTGATGCCACCCCCCCAGCAGAAAGTGGCATTGTCAGAACAGATGTAATAGAGACAGAGAGACAGGGAGAATGGGATTGAGTCCTTACAGGAAGCAGGGTGTGAGGATGTATAGGTTACTGCGGGAGTCAGTGAGTTTGTAATTGATACCGACAGCCAGCCTATCCCCAGAAATGGAAACAGAGATGTCAAGAAAAAGAAGGGAAGAGTTGGAGATGGAACAGGTGAAGTTGAGGACAGGGTGTAAATTGGAAGCCAAATTGATAAATTTTTCCAGCACTTATGTCCTGGAGAAACAGTTGTGGGGAGGGATCTGATTACGATTGGAATAGGGAAGTTTCCATGTACTCCACAAAAAGATAGGCCTAAATGGGACCCATGTGGTACTCATGGCCTCCCACCTTTGACATGACGAAAGTGAAAGGAGTTAAAATAGTTCTGAGGAAGCTCCAAAACCAGGTTAAACTGATTCTAAAACCAGTTCTGAGGAAGGGTCACCGGACCCGAAACGTTAACTCTGTTTTTTCCTTCACAGATGCTGCCAGACCTGCTGAGCTTTTCCAGCAACTTTGTTTTTGCTCTTGAGTTAAAATAGTAGCTGTTCAAAGTGACGGTGAACTCGGCCGGGCGGAGAAGGGTGGATGGGGATAGTTCAGGCCTTCTTTCCAGGAAGAAATTGAGGGCCCTGAGTCTATTCTGATGGAAGATGGATGTGTAAAGGGATTGCACATCCTAGGTGAAGAGGAGATGGCTGGAACCTGCGAACTGGAAATTCTGAAACTGACTTAAAGCATCAGAAGAATCGTGGATGTAAGTGGGGAGGGACTGAATGAGGGGAGAACAAAAGAAGTCAAGAAACTAACTGCATTGTTCTGCAATGATCAGCTGCAAACAACTTCCTTCCCTGTTGTATTATGTTATGATGAGGGCCTTGGGGCAGAGGTAATGTCCCTATATCTGGCCAGATTGATCCAGGTTCAAGACCCACCTGGACCAGAGGTGTGTCGGGACATGTCTGAACAGGCTGATGGAAAATAATTAGTTATCTATGATTCTAGGCTTGACCAACTGCCAGTGCAATGTGATTTAAGTGTAGCCACTGTTGCAGGACAAAGAGACAGCAAGAACTTGAATTGGACAGTGGACACCATTGATCCTCTTTCCTATACTATCAGACTGTAACTGATTTGTATCTCAATACAACCTGCCCAACTTGATTCCATTTCCTTTTACACCCTACGGTAATAAAACTTTAACAGCGTTTTGAAATTTTCTATTGACCTAGCTTTTTGTTTTCATTTGTTTACAGGCTGCAGGCTAGGCTAGCACTTTTTGCTCGTTCCAGTTTTCTCTGGGGAAGATGGTAGTGGTGAGCTGCTTTCTTGAGCCACTGCAGTCCGAGATAGGGTACACCCATAGTGTTGTGAGGAAGGGAGTTCCAGGATTTTGACTCAGTGACAGTGAAGGAATGAAGATTTAGTTTCAAGTCAGGATGGTGTGTAGTTTGGAGGGGAATGTTTTGAGGCTGAGCATTTCCAGATTTTCACAACCTGTTGTGCAAGGAATTCCTTCTTGGTATCGACCTGAAAGTATATCATCCTAATCTAAGGTTTATGCTCCCATGTTCTGGACTCTCCCATCAATTGTTCCCCGCTATCTAGCCTGCCAAACTCTAACTTTCTCAAATTCTCAACAACTCATTAGCTCACGCCTTAATCTTGTATATTGAAGTGAACACAATACCTACTCTATAAACCTGCCCTTGCAATTTAATGCTGTTAGTGCCAGTATCATTCTGATTGCTACAGAGCTACAGTTGGTTTCCAATTGCCTTCAATCTGCTTGGGCTGGGGAGAGAAGGAAAAAGCCGTCCGGGTTCCTGTTAATGAATGTCACTGTGATCCTATTTATAATTGGGCTGGCATGGAAGATGAGGGCAGGATGAACTTAAATGTGATGTTCCCACTCACTGTTAAATCACCTGCCAGAGATCACCAACAGGACTTATATATGAATTCCTTCAAAGAGGTAATGAAGCAATTGCTGTCAGCTATAGAATGATAGTGCAGCATGTGTCAGTGCTTTTGGAGAGGACAAAGAAAAGTTTAAGGAAAATGAAATGTCAAAAAGTAACTAGTTGATTTTATTCTAAAATAAACACAGGCCTTTGTGCGGTAAGTGGAAGTGCAGAAGGGGACAACCTTAGGAGATTGGAGTTAAGCAATAAGCACTTGTATTTATATTGAACTTCTCACAATCACAAAACCTCCTAAAGCATTTTATACCAATGATATTTGACATGCACAGTCATTTCTTAGGTAAATGTACCAGCTCGGTTTGCACAATGCCAGGGCCCCCCAACAAACCGTGAATGTAATGAGTCACCAGTTAATTTGTTTGGCAGACACTGGTTGGGGAAGAACATTGATTGTGGCATCAGAGAAACTCAGATGCCACCCTTTGATTGTTTCCAAGAAATTGTTTACATACATGTGTATGGGCAAACTTATCCCAAAGTTTGGGAGCACTGCCCAAATTCCTTTGTCTGGAATTATGACTTAGGAACAGAATATTAGGAACTGAGTCAAGCTGGCTCTTAGAACATATACATTTCATTCTGTGATATTAATAAGAAGGATATTTCCCTATTTGTTATATTCATGCGAAATGACACATACTTATTTTAACCCTTGTTAAAATAGTAGAGGACCTTTTATATGAATCAATTAATACAGTTATTACTGATATCAATTTCAGTTGCTTTGTTGGGGCAACATGCACATGACCTACCTTAAAATTACAATGCACTCTTTTTAGGAAAATGGGAAGAGTAGGCCATTAGTCCCTTCAATCTGTCCCACTATTCAATTTGATCACTTAACTTCAGATTTAACTTTATTAATCTG